TTTATGGGGCATCTTATGAATTAACTTGCTATCCATTGTCAGATCTTTAAATACCACTTCACAATATCTTGTCTCACTTATTTTCTAATAACGTCTTTACTTGATTCTCATTATATTCCAATAAACCTAACATTTTATAGCTCTTTATGAATTTGATTCGACTTATTCTATTCCTATTCTCTGTAGGGTACGGTTGTGCACCAAATAGAAAAAAAGACATGAAATAAAGACAACTGGCTTGAAAATAATTGTATTAAAGCCAAAAATGGACATCATGATAGTATAAAATATATTGGTTTCATTATACATTGCAAATGAACGTTGTCGGCCTAAGGATTAATTACTTCCCCATTCTGTTTTCTATATAAATGTGTTTATTAATGATATATTTCACTCACTTAATCTATTACACTTTAATGTTACACCACAGCACTTTAATTTTTCTAAAACAGCTTCCAATTCCTTGTAAACGTTGTACTTACCTCAATATTGGTTGATTATCGTATGCCTACAACCACGGGATGAAAACGAAACGAAGTCGATTTTCCCGCTCAACCTGGAGGACAATTGTACAATTCAATAACTATACAGCCTAGTTCAGACAATGTGTATTTATATATATATCAAATATTTAACTGTTGAAACATTATTAACTTGTAGACAATTTAAGATTTGACATTATATCATCCTTGATCGTGCCTGTAAAAATGGCATGCATTTTCATGTAAATTTATGTTTATATGAAAATAAATTATTATTATTATTATTATAAAGCTTAGAATGGCAGTCACCTCCCTATCCCAACTTCATCGACTTTGAAAAGGCCTTCGACAGCGTGGATCGAGAGGTGATTTGGTAACCACTTCGCTACTACGGGGTCCCATCTACAATTATACATCTCGTCCAACAGTTGTACGACAATGCTGCATGCCAAGTAATCCACAACGGGAAACTTATGGAAGCATTCGAAGTGAGGACGGGAGTGCGACAAGGCTGTCTACTATCACCAATGATCTTCCTCATTGCACTAGACTGCATAATGCGACAGACAACGGGCAATGAGGAAACAGGCATAAAATGGACCCTCAAGAAAAACTTGGAGGACCTGGACTTCGCTGATGATGATATATGTCTGATTTCCCACAAACTGGAAGATGTGCAAGTCAAAAGCAACAAGCTGGCAGAAGAAGCATCCAGAGGTGATAGGACTTCCTTCAGGTGAACATAGATAAAACAAAGGTAGCTGATGAAGATTCCTGGCCAACACCAGCAGCAACAGCAACAACAGACAACAATCGGCCAGCATAAATGGAAGGAACCTGAAAGAAACAACCTCCTTTACGTACCCACCTACCTGCGAAGCATCGTTTCAACTACAGGCCAGCGGAACTGACGAGGATATCAAAGCCGGAATCGGAAAAGCAAGACAAACTTTCATTACTCTTAAGTCTGTGTGAAGGTCAAAATCACTCAGCATCAAAAATAAGATCCGGATTTTCAACTCCAATGTGAAGTCAGTCAGTGCTACTCACTATACGGATCAGAGACTTGGCCAGCGCGTCATAAAGAGCATATCCAACAAACTTCAGACCTTCATTAACAGTTGTCTTCGCTCAATACTCAATATCATATGGCCAGAAAAGATCAGCAACAGGGATCTCTGGGAGCGAACCAACCAGGAACCGATTGTGAAACAAATAGGCATGATGAAATGGAGATGGATTGGTCATACTCTGAGGAAACCATCAAGTGACATCACTAGACAAGCCATTGCTCGAGTGGAACCCGAAAGGGAAGCGGGAAGCGAGTTGGTCGTCAGCTTGAGGGTGACTTGGAGAAGGTAATGTGAGGAGGAGATGAAAGCGTGTGAGCAGACTTGGAGTGAGGTGAGAACGTTGTCAGGGAACCGAACGCAATGGAGACGCCCTATGTTCCTCTCGGAACTAAAGGATAAAATAATAATAAATAATGGCCCATGTATCTTTGGTACACATGGAAACTGTTGATCGTAAAATACTATTCTCCAAACTAGCCAAGAAGCAGTCTGCAAGTATGGGACCCAATGGTGACCCCATTTCCACTCCATCTCTCTGTCTATAAATCGTTTTGTTGAACTTGAAGTGGACATTTAGAGTGCACCTCAATAGTAGTCCCTTTAATTAATGGATCGGAACACCTACGTGTACATTATTATCCTCAGTGAATATCCATACAAAGCAGGTAGTTTCAGTGAGGGGAACGTTGGTGAAATACGAAGTAACATCCATGGATATCTTCTTCTCGGATACATTAGCATCACAACTGTAGATTTTTTGGTGGATGTGGTCTTAGTTAACTTTAGCAACTTAGAAGGTAACTCATAACCAAAATATTCTCGCGTCCACTTGGAGTATGTGGATGATATTGTCTCGCTGGTCGAAGACACCGACGAAATGTATGTGCCTCTGAACACCATTGGCATTAATGCTATTATGTTTGGGGTGATATTCGTTCCTGCCAAACGTATTTCATACGTTTCCTTTTCAGTATCTTTTCTTGGTCTCCACTGAATCCCAGTTTGAAAATAGGATGTAAAGTGTTAGAGTGTGCTCATCACTTCACATATCTTAGAAGTCGCATGAACTTCAATGGGCTGACTTCTGGTGAAGTCTCAGCAAGAATGCAAACGGCTTCTGTGGTATTACAAACTCATATCATCTCTGGAGTCGACGAAATGTCCCACATTCGATAGATGGAGGTGTTTACGGCAGTTCCGTGCATCCTTTTGACATAAAAATGGGTTAGAAAGCAATTAGTAACTGTCTGGTAAGACTTGATTTCAATGCATCAAGTACCCAGCATGAAAGAAAAGGGAGGAACCGTCGGGTGAACATAGGTGTTAACCTGCGAGACCGGTTGCCTCAACCACTATATTTATTTACTCCGCGTATATGATGTTCCGTACAAGAAGACCTGTGGGTATTTGACTACTAACCCGCAGAACCGAAGGTGCAGGCATACTATATATTATTTATTGCTTTCCGTTCCTGGTGAACATTGGGCTTGAAGCTAAAGCCCTGAAGTTTCGATAGCAGTGGTGTATATTTTTACGGGGTGGGGTTGCTAGCCTCATGCCTGATCTTTCTACTTAATCACCAGCTAAGAGAGGTATGCAAGTGCATCAGTCGGAGATTGAACACAGGACCACTTGCATGGTAGGCGAGCATTCTACTTCTGTGCCACCGATGCACGAAGCTGCAAGACATCGGTTTTAGTTAATCGTTCACTGCTGAAAATTGTGGATGCTGGAATCTAATATCGTAATGAAGTACGTGTTTATCTTAACCATCATATTGCAAAGAGTACTTGCAATAGTTATCTGGATGGATGATCGAACTTAAGTCTGTTAATTGTTAATATCAGGTGCATGCCTATTCCAACAAGATAAAAGTAACAACAGTTTGCTAATCCTCTAGAAGCTCAGAATGTTGAACTACCTCCCAGCTCCACTATATATTTAATGTGTTTCTTCTTTGTCATGTGAGAAATAGTGTTCATGCATTAGGAAATAAATTATCAAGCCGTCTTTGAACACCAGGTAAGTGTAAATGCCGCATGTTTTCCCAGCTATCATTATAATTACATGTTTAACAAACTATTTCTACATGTCGAGCTTTGATAAACCAGGCTGGGATCACATTAGCATACTGTTCAGTTATATGACGTTACAGTAGGAATCCCGTCTAATCGTCAAACACAGGGGTACCACTTGACTGGAGAAAGATGCAATAAAATTGAAAAGGTTTATGTGACGATTATCTGGTATCATAAGAGATGATTAGCATACCGAGTAACCTGTAGCTACCATCCTAATTCGTTTACAGATTGGATCGGCGAAAGCCTTAAATATCACAAAAGTCTGCACTATTTATGCATAATCCTTGTGTTGCTTCCTAAAATGAAGTGTGTCAGCTTAAAATGAAAATGGGAATTTTAGCTAACATATTTTTACGAAGATTTCATCCTGAAAATCTGCACGGTTGTATTTTGACGCGTAAGATTTCACAGCAACAATTACTATTCAATTCGACTTGCAAAGTGGGAAGAATGAAGTGGGAAATAATGCTCAAACTTTTACTAATATTCGGAGCTATGGTGAAAATGAATTTAGGTCACAAGGGGTATAGAAGACAAATCGACGTGTGCGTCTTCTAGGCTCCATGTGTGACAGACTCAGTTATTTAGCCTTTTACCATGAAAAGAATTTCGCTGTCACCAAACAACCCTAGAGATGTGCGAATACCGTTAGTTTCAAGCATTAGAACATAAACCAGCAGCAGAACCTACAGGGTGTATGGTTTCTACTGAAGTTCAACTCAGAATCATGACCGGCGAAAATCAGTTATACTCCATCTATTAAGGTTTACACCTTAAAACTGAAACGCAATTGGGATCGTGAATAGTAGGAAACCCAAGTGAATAATGAAGGGTCACGAATGTGGGACTAGTAGATATCATCTGAATAATTTTGACTTATTTTCTTCAGGATGTTCCGACAGTAAATTGAAACATGAGGTGACGAAATTAACTTCTCCTGCTTCCTCAATCAACTAATAAAAATAAAAGGGAGTAAATTTACAGTCGTGCCCTGCCGATTTCTTACAAGATTCGAAAGAGTCAGTACCAACTACCTTATTAAGACGGAGAGATGCAGATTTGTAATTAAATCATACGGGCATCCGCCAACATGCATAATCTTATTCTTCTCTATTTGCTGTCAGTTTCTTGTGTAAGTGTTTACCAATTTTTACAGTTTAAGCTGTACTAGCCACCACTCAGGAGGAGTAAAACGACAGTACACTCTTAACCCATATTCTGCGCAAGAGAATATGCAATGAACGAACACCCAGCCAATGATTAGTGAAAAAGCCCGTTAAAAAATCATCACTTCCTGTTTTTTGAAATCTTTTTGATTCCTAATGCTCTTACTAATTTTGTTTGCGCGAATTGGACATCACATTGAAAAGGCGCTACACTCAAAATGGAAGGCAGTGACGCTTGTAATTCCGAATTGTTGCGTGTTTGGGAGAAACGGAAAAACTGCAGAGATAAAATAGTTGATTTGCACAAAAAGTATTTCGCAGATACTCTTAATACACTTGTGAGTTGCATGTTCTGGCTAATTCTTCAATTTCAGACCCAATTGGAGACTCCGACACCCAAGGAGTCTGAAATTATGATAGAGAAGTCTGAAATTCGAATACCTGTGAATATTCCCGCACTTTCAGACATTTTCAATGATATGGATAAGGTATGGTTGTTCACATTTTTTGCGATTTGTTAGATGGAAAAGTACCTTGTAGATCAGATCAGAGCTTTGAGTGCGATTAAATCCTCTGAAATTATCACTAACGATGACCTTCTTGGTAAGCTTATTGACATATTTAAATTTCGTCACTAGGTTTCGTACCAATTGACCGATGATTATATTGGACTCTGCTCATCTCGCGGTTATGGATGAGGTCGCCGTATGATTGAGATAATCTCAACATTTGCAGATGGATGTGTGAGGTCAACGCGCTACACCTGCTTTTCGAGCATAATTTTTGCGTAAAGGAACTATCGCCAAGGAAGCTCTTGCCATAGACTTATGCTGTCTATGTAGAAAAAATGTCAATTTACCTGCATATATATACAACATTTTGAATTGTTTTCTCTGGTTTATTACTCATGTTAACCTCCATGTTCAGCATTGCGCTGGTCTGTGGTTCTTAACTGGTGTCTGAATTGTTATGTATGAGGCATTTTTACTTTTCAAATAGAGAATAATACCTTTAAAAGCGGTGCAGATGGTGAAGTGAGTTGTCCATCTCTCTGCTTACGAAGTTGAGTCTTACATATTTCATCATGCATAGCTGACTTATTTTACTGGCCGGTTTTTTATATTTACAAAGTCGTAGTGTGTAGGATTACGTATATTGCAGAGTACTTATCTGTTGCTACATTGATATGCTAACTTTTGTATAATGAGATCAACATTTGATATCAAATCTGAGCGTGATGTAAGCGTACTCACCACCTTTTGGTCCCAAATTCTCGTGGTTACCTCTACTAGGTTTCTTGACACAGTAGTCCTTCAGACTTAAGTGACAACAAACTGACACACTCCGTGAAAAGAAACTAATGCAACTTCAACTGACGAAGTTTTGTAGAAGGAGTAATTAGATAGCACTCCGTTTTCTAACAGTCCGCTTTACAGGCATCTAGCGCATACGGTTAAGTCATGTGATCTTCCTGCTTCCAGTGTGGTCTTGGTGAATTTGAACTAGGTCAAATATAATTTCTAGGTTTTAACCAGATACGTGTGATTAGTTGATTTGACTCGTGTTGTACTCAACAAATGCTCGTAGTTAACATTTCAATGAGGAGATTTAGGTCATTATAACATTATGCTGTATAACCTATTCAGCGTACTAATAAATGGTAGATGCTCTGTTGCGTACTTTGATTGCTCACTGAAGTGATGTGGTCGCTAAGATATGCATCACGTGTACTTTTAACACCCGGGCGTTGCCATACTGGTGGAACTTTCCATCTGCACTTAGTGCTTGGTCAACAGTTTGTGTGGTATTTTGCTTCACATGCAGCTGTTTTTCTCTCCTTAGCTTCTTTCATAGGATTGTACAAATACCGCGGACTTATCGGCAAGTCGACACTTAAAATCTTTTAGTCATGTACACTGGAAATCACTTGGAGCGTCTCTCTACTAATTGTCTGCTGTTTACTTTTCGCAGGTACTTCTTAGTCGCACTACTGCTGGTATCACCTTAATATTCTAATTTCTGTAGATGCCTGTATGTCAGTTGTGGCTGTCTTGAACTCCTATGTAGCCGTTTCACATCTCATATATTTAGTTGACCGGGAGAACTTCGTAATTCATAAGACAATAAACTGTTCTCCCATCGAAGTTGTTCGCTACAGTCCAGAACTTTCTCCATGTAGACGACTTATCGCTTTTAGTCACTCTTCTCAAAAGCTGTACCGTTCATCCGGCAGTTCTGCGTTCACTGAATTCGACTTCTCGAGCTCAAACAAAAGTTACTTAGGTGATTAATGGAAAAATTAGCTGACTAGGACCCACTGCTTGTCAAAGACGTCAACTGTTATTTTGGTTCCCAACTTTCTGACTTTTACACTTGTTAGAATATATTTTCCCTAAAGTTTGTCAAAAGAGATGATTAGCAAAACACACCTCGACTCTGTAAAGAAGTTACAATCGAGCTATTCAACACTCCAAAGACCTGGCCTCAACAAGTTAAGAATCCCTGAGGTCTATGCGGCCACCGTTCCCACGGTCGTTTTTGTCCGACGGTGAAGAATTCAGTGACACAAGCTTCATGAAACATTACGTCTCAAATGATATGTATATTCTGTCACGGCAGCTCTTGTAACTTCGAGAGTGATTTTAAGAGGTCTAGAATTCACTTTCTTAAGTAGTGTTGAGGGAGGACGAATAATTGTGTTTGTGCAACCTTTGTTGGTCTGTCACATGCCGGCAAATAAACCTAAGAAGTTCCGTAACTGACAGACGTACTTTCAGATTTGAGTGAGAAACGGCGGCGTTTAGTCAAGGCTTCAATGGCAAGGGTAGTAGTTACTTTTTTGGGATGCTACTCTGGTTCTTTTAGTAATTCTTAGTACCTTATCGATTTGATTTTGATACGTTTTCATGTACATGTTTCTTGTAAAAGCCGTCATGCAAGATCTTATGTAAATTTGTAAATCGAAAGGTAATTTTCACATATGTTTGTGTACACGTATAGTTACAACAAGGTTATTTTAGACTGGTAGGATATATATATATATATATATATATATATATATATATATATATATATATATATATATATATACCATCTAACATCACTTAATGCTATGTAATAAAACAGATTTTGAACCCAGGTGTTAGCCTGACCACACCTGACCCTTTTCCAACCTAATCTAATGTCGGCTAACTTTGTTCATTGAGAGAGACGATAGCTCGGCATATGTAACACGTGGCCGAGACATCTCAATCCGTGTAGCTCTACAACGTAGAACTCTACATCTGACCTTAGTATTGCTTGCCATATTGTTCTACTTAACACGAGAGATAGAACGCAAACATTTTTGGCCTAAGATCAAATGCAATTACTAACTCCTTTTGATTTGAAATAGTTTCTGAGGTATGGTATATGTTTACATTAGTGATAACTCTTGCCATCCTTATACTGTTAGCTGAGGGAAATCTGTGGAGCGAAAAGTAACCTCCCTTGATGTAGAAAATAGATTCATTGATGCTTCGTTTTTATTAAATGGTGTGAATTTATACCATTGAGAAATAATTTGTTGTCCATGTTTACATTAGTTTGTAGTATTGTGTGCATGTAGTCAGTCATGGTTCTTGTGCGTGTTGCAACCAGCCATGGTAACTAAACCAAATTGAGTTGCTAAGATCAAAAAAAGCGTGTCGTGTGAATACATCACTATTTAAATTAAAAAGAGAATATTTTCTTGTACGACTTACTTTTCAGTTAGTATTTTACTATGCACAGTAATCGATCGCCATTTCCTCCACAGTGCATACTGTTCAATTCGTGCTTGCAGCAGACTTAATTGAAATTCAGCAAAAAAAGATAAACATTTATTCGTGTTCCTCCTTTACTAGTTTGTGATGAAATTTTAGTTTTCACCAGTGTTGAACTGATGTATAAGAATTGATACCTGATGTCCTTACCACTCTAAAAGTCAGACATGTGAAAGCATGAAGAAAGTCAATATATACCATCACTGCCTTACTGAGCAGTAAATAGTTGATTCGGAAATTGGGAGTCACAATATTAATCTATAGGTAGTATAACTCGACGCTCGTGTTTTGTGCAACAGATTCTGAATAAGTCTCACCGGAAAAATTGGTGTCCTTTGTTGGAGGTTTGTGCAACGGTTTAGTATGAAACACTAGTAGCGTGTTATCACCTTCTATTTAGGATCTGTAGGTACTTTACTAGATTTTCCAAAGGAACAAATATGCTATATAGCTTATTCACGGTCAGCGTAATCATAGTTTTTGACATTTTATAAAGGAAACTGTTATGTACTCGTCGCTAAATTATTGTTATGGTCTGGTCGAGAAACTAATAGTCCTGACGCGAGAAGGCGGAAATCAGAAGACCACTAGGTTTGCGATGATACTTCTATTTTCCAAACACAAGGAGACGAAAATAAATGGTCTCACACCAAAGTGGTAAGTAAGTAAAGTAGTTGTAAAGTAAAGTAGTTCACACAAATTGTGAATGCGATTATATATAAATAATTCAGACAAAGCGTGGGAAAAATCATTAGACAGTCTTAACATGAATGGCTAATTATAATGGAGTGTCGATCCAATTATACATAGCGAATATAGCAGACATGCCAACAAACATATATGGATATATGTCACCAAGCAACGGACTGTCAACAAACACTCATATTATATATAATATAATATAAGGAGAATACACATTATTAAAGGAGACAAGTCCATACAAGTGAAGTGGTCACAGACTAACCGAGCAAACAGAAAGAGAGACCAACATACACACATAAATATATATATGTGGATACATATCAGAAACCATAAATTACTCTTGAAAATATACTTAATCCTGTGCACCATGATGGCACAATTAAAAGTTTGAAATGATAGGTTCTGAGCTCAAGACTCATTAGGAGCATATCACTCTAGTCGGTAAGTGCCGGATAAGATGAAATGCACATCCTAAATCCACTGCTAACCATCACCTAATAAATCGTATCAAGTCGGTACTCTTCGTCTGTTATTGCCCTTCTATGCAAATATAATAATAATAAAGATGATGATTTACTTTATTCCAAAAACAGTACTTGTGATACAGAATGGAATTTTCAGCATTAATCACAATATTGTTGCATCTAATTTCCTCAAATTATAAATAAAAATTAATCACACAGAAAATTTTCCACATTTAAAATAGAGGTAGTGTCAAAAACATGCAGCATATAAAATGGAAATAGCAATAATAATGATAACAGCTAGGGTAGTAATAATAAGAATACAAGTGAAAATTGCCGTTGGCTTGTGTCACACAGTATTGGCAATGTGGTATAGAAATCCTAACATGTTTAAAAATATTGAATATAATGTTCTCTTTACATGATTGATGGTGAGGGGAAAAACAAAGATTACAGCCGTCATGGAGATAAGTTGGTGTTTGCAATTATGAGAGTAAAACAAAGAAGCAACAGGACCATGAATATAATAGAAGTAATAAAAGTAAAACTTGAAGGTATGTAAGGATGGATGGAGGAAATTGTTTATTTACTAGATGAAAGAAGGTTAGTTAATTCTTTCCTGACACTATTTTCATCACATAAAATACGTGCCAAGTATGGTATCATAGAATTTCTATACTTAGACGTGCGAGCATACAGTTTTATGAAGTTACTCCTTGTTCTACCTGAGGAGATGCAAGGTGAAAGCTGAGGGTAAAGCCGATGCTCCAAGTCAGACAAAATCCCTTTAGCAAATTTATTGCATGAAGTCAAGTGCCTATCGACAACGACGTTAACTATGTGGTCCACTGGGACACCACTCACCCTACTGACAGTCTTCAGTATTCTACGAATTGTAACATAGTCCTTTTTAAGCAAACTAGGAAAGAATAAGCAGGGGTGAACAATAAAGAAGAATAGGTAGGATGCAAGAGTTTATGAGCTGTAAAATGAGAGTTTGGTTGAGTTATACCCGAGTGTCTTAACTTCTTAATTTAAAATGTCAGGCGG